ACCATCAATCTTTACTTATAATACTTATGACTTAAGATAATCCGTACAGGATTCACATATACCAATAAGAGAGACTGATCAACTGTAGTCCTAAACATCAAAATACGAAGATTCAAATAAACAATACAAATAATGAATTATTCAAACTAATAGTTTCAACATTGATAATTTAACATGGATTGGATTGGATTTTACAAATAAACCTAAACTCATATGTTACAACGGTGTGAACAAGATGTATTTGCCTTATACTTGATCATTCTTTTGAATCATTAATGTGGATGTATAACTATAGAAATTGATGGGAATATTTAAATAGTTAAACTGTGAACTGATAAAATCTGTTGCATAAATTTAACAAATTAATTTATTATCAGTATGGGGATTTGTGAAGATTGTAGTAGTTTCACAGTTGAACTCACGAGTAGATCTCATCTGGTTCACCGTTGAAAACATGGAAGTATTGAATGACTGTTTCGTTCTACTATAGGACTCCTCAGCAGTGCAAATCCGTGACTTAGTGCGCGGGACTCAAGCCCAGGACATTTGGTTCAGGTTTTCAATGGTGGTCTAGATGAGATCAACTCGTGAATTTAACTTTGAGAATTAGTTTATGGTAGTAGGGATAAATAGTCCGTATTAAATCACACTTAATAACTTACCTTAAGTAACTTGGACTAGAACGCTGAACAAAACATTTGGTACTACTTGCATTTCAATCACTGAAATAATAATCCAAGTCAATAACTTAGTTCTATGCTTATGTTAGGAAGATATCACATTATTTCTGTTGAATCAACTGTCATCGTATTGCCATAATTTCAGTGGTTTATACCTTAGTGATTAAAACTATAGGCCTCTACTAATTGCTTTATTGACTCTACAGATGAATTATTATTTAGTGTAATCGTTCTTCAGAATAGTGGTTAAAACTTTCAATTTTGGAATTAATAATCTATAGGATTAAAACAAGCCCTGTCTACTTCTATGTGGACGTTTGAGTAGTATCGCTAGCTTACAGCCAAATCCTGCGAGCGGGATCATGAGTGCGCAATGCTGAGGAGTCCTATACTAGGACAAAACGGCCGTCCATTGCTAACAGGTTTTTCGTGGTGATCTATTTTTAATTGGCTCACGAATTCAATCATTAAATTACTACCATCTCCACAAAACCCCCTTTCTGAAATACATAAAATTATATTTCACTTATATTTTATAACTATCATCATCAACTGTGATGCCTAAAGTAGAAAAATCGAAGGATTGTCATAGAAGATATCATACTTGGTTAGAATAATAGACGATTATAAAGTACTTCGGATATGCACAAAATTACTGATTTCTCCTACTGACATATTCGTTACCTTTATCTACGTAGATGAGTCTTCACTAGTTTTATCGATGTCTTGTGAGTGAAAAGTGGTAGAATATTTCTTGAACGTTGTATATGATGAAATATTCCTTGTTATTCACTCAAATGTTTTTGGATTGTTTTTTTTCTTAACGATCATTTACAATTCTGTTAATCAATCAGAAAATGCTCTTCAGAAACTGTTATGTTTGAAGCGATTATCAGTTCACCTAATCTGAGAACCGAACGAAGACTTTGTGACACAATAACAGATAAGCTAGCTATCCTGACGCGTCTTAGCCCCGCTAACTAGAGAGAGAAGTTTAAGTTCGGGAGAGAGGGAATATATTTTACAAGCAACCAGAAGCACGAACTACAACGACAAACACAAATCAAGCGTATATATACAGCGTAAAATTGTCCTTGGGAAGCGTTACAAAATAGCGTACTAAAAGATATAACGAACCAATAGCGTTTAAGTTTCTCCCGAGTGGGAAATACAACATGAAGGTGAAAATGGGCGCTTGTGGCGCGAAAACAAGAAATTCAAATTTTTACAATAGCATTACAAATATAAGGTATTTACCAAGTTTTGGAGATCTAACATCCTCAACATAAACTAATTTAAACTATTTTATTGTTGTATGAGACTTCTTAATAGTACTTATCCATAGCCGTTGTAGGGCCAGTGAAATGTCACTGAGACCTAGCCAAATCATCCAGCACTTGGGTCACTATATATCGTACAGATCATTGACCCCTCGTCAAGGTCAAAGACAGTTAACGAGCATCAGTTAATCGTACGCCATGGACTGGCCTATGCGGCGGTGGTCTTTCTTTCGCTTTTATCTACTTTAACTAATATGTTTCTGTAATAACGTTCTTTGTATTGTACAGTCTTCAAAGCATCTATAATATCTTGATACGTCAATGGGGTAATCCACGTAAGGTGATGACCACGAGGTGTGACTTCGACGTTAGCTGGTTCGTCACACCATTTCCGTCTAACTCGAGTAGGCCTCCAATCATTCGACATAGATTATCTACGTTGGTGATCTACACCGTATTGTAGAATAAAGTTTTGACTTTTAGGTTACAGGACATAAGTATTACTTTGAAAACGTTAAATCGAAACGCGATAGTTTACAGTTTCGATTTTCGGTTTTCTCGAGTTTTCATTTGTCATTCAGTTGATTTCAGTTTGTGACAAAAAGGAATTTTACAAAGCATACAACTTGGCAATTGTAGCTTCAAATGACTGATGATCTCAACTATTGAAATTACTACAATCTCCACAAAACCCATTCTGACACTAATCAATATATACTCACTGGTGTCGGTCTCCAAGATGTATTTCCTGGCGTTCTAGTGAGGAGCAGTGATCAATGGAGTTCAGAGGGGTCAGTTGTGAGATAGTAACTGACTGATGACAATGGTAGATGTGTCGCTCAATTTCGTGGATTAGTTGAAGTTAGACATTAACACTATTAAATACCGGCCGGTTCAGTCGTCCATAGGTTAGATGCTCGTACGTGAGACCGATAAGTCCTGGGTTCGAATCTCGCGAGGCGGTATCGTGGATGAGCACTGCTGAGGAGTCCTACAATAGGACGAAACGGACGTTTAATGCTTTAAGGTTTTCCATCGTTATCTAGCTTCAATCGGCTCATGATCTCAACTATTGAAATTACTACAATCTCCACAAAACCCCTTCTGATACTAATTGTATTTTTGTTATACATTTCCTCAAAGAAGTTACTTTTATTTTTTGTCTACTAAATTTTCTAAGTACATGAGAAACTTCTCAGCAATGCACACCTTAGATCTCACAGCAAAGGAACTCGAACCCGTGGCTTTCGGCCTCGCACACCGAGCTGGCATTTAATGGTGTTCATGTCTAATTTCAATCAATCCACGATATTGCACTGCTATCCAGTGTTTCCAGGTTTTCAATGATGGTCTAACATTGATCCATTCATGACATCAATCTAAACTCAATTATTTCCACAATCCTATACTGGCGTTAAATACTATAATAGTATATATAATCAAATTATATATTATTACTGTATATAATGAATTACATGAAGTATTATAATTCAATAGTTAACTATTGAAATATCAACCATGATAATCTATCAATAAATCAAGCAATCAGATTACTGACTATATTCTAACTGACAAAACATGTATGACTTTGTTTATTACTGAATGGTCAATAAACGATCACTTACTGCTTGAACACGTTATTACTAGATTCTAATTATGAAACTTACCTAACCCTGGGTATATCTAAACTAGAATTACTACAATATGTTAATAACCATAAAGGTGTCATTGAATTCTAGATTCGATGTTTCTTGTCTATTGTCTTTAATCTTATCACATTTATGATTGTCATATAAAGTTTAAGGATCAATTCTCTAAATTCAAATATCAATCGTTTAGTAATAAAATATGCATTTTGAGATGATGAAAAAGATTTCTAGCTCAGGTGAATAATTTTGACGGAGTTTTGTTCTCTGAATTGGATAGTTTGATCATGGAGCATTCATCGTTCTTTTGAATGACATCATCATCATCAGTACAAACTTCAGATAAAAATAAAATGTTCGAATTTCTCCATATGTAGTTCAACATCGAGGTCTACAGGACAAGCTATGAGCCATATGTGAAGAAATTCAAACACTTCACTTCTACCTAAAGTTTGTGCTACTGATGATATCACTCGGAAGAACAATGAAAGCTGCATGACCCAACCCATTCAACTTAGAGAACAAAACTCCATCAAAATAAAATATACATTACTACATCTCAAACTACATAATATCCATTACAAATATGATACAAAAATTAAGAAAGAAAATTAAAAAGAGAAATTGAATTTAGATTTTACTGTAAAAAGAAACTTTTCTTTTATTCTACAAAAGTTGATCTTGATGGATAAATGAATGGAAGGTAACAGATGTGGACGGGTATAGAGAATTGGAAAATGTAGTTTCTTTGGTTTTGTTGTTGTTTTTAAAATGGTCATATATATATATCTCCTCCTATTGTTATCCATGATTTGCTCCTTTATTTATTTTTTCTTTTATATATCAAACTCAACTGAGTTGCTAACTCATTTTTTGTTTTTGTTCTGTTTTCTTTTTCTTTTCTTTTCAAACAAACAAACAAACAACGGAATCTTCTCTTTTATACACAAAATTGTAAACAATTAAACAAAGTTGTATTAATTTAGTACTGCATTTCCTTTCACCCCCTCTCCCCCCACCCCAAAAAAAAACAAAATGTGGGAACACTCATCTCTCTTTTTTTTTGTTTTGATCCTTTTGTTTGTCAGTTACTTTCGTCATTACACTTTTATGTTACTCATATTAGAAAAATAAGCAAACAGTTGAAATAGATCCATGTACGTATGTATGTATATGTGTATATTCAAGTTTGTGTACATGTGTTTTATGGAAACAATACAATATCACAGTAAAGTGTATAGTAACAATGTAAATTGATAATATGATTTTATTTAAAGTTTATTATCATTGACAATATTGTTTTCTTCTTTTTTTCTTTTTTCTCTCTTTCTTTTTTTTTGTTTTCAGAGAAAAAAAAATAGAAAGTAAAAAAAAGATGAAGAAAGAATTTGAATTTATTCTCGTTTAAATAAACTTCGTATTGTTGAACGTCTTCGTTGTGTATAATTAGGACCAGTTGTTGCTATGTAGTTATCAGTAACATCAGTATCACGTTGATTCATATAAGTTGTATCATAATCTTTATTTGACTTACCTTTCCTCTAAAACATATAAAGTAGAAAAATATATACATAATAGGTATTATTATTATTATTATTCATGGCTTTATTCGATATTGTATTTTTGGTACAATATAGAATTCTCAGCACAAAGTATTTCAACAAGTTTACTTTTTTTGTTTCTTGATCGATCTTCAGTCAGTTAGCTACAACGTAGGACTAGGTACATATATGCATCGGTCCAAGTTGCCATACCTCATTAACACAACAAGATGAACACCGGATTCATAAAAGTAGTTAATTCAGAGGTGGTAATATATAAAAGAAAGATTGCAATAAGGATATAGTACATGAAGAAAGAATTAGTTCGTAGAAAGACAGATGTGAAGTGATTTTAATCTCTTAGTTTAAGGGAAGACAGGAAGTGTATACACCGACGCCATTGTGATCGATATTGAGCCATGTCACCAAGAGTCTCCAACCATTGGTTACGAAAGTCACGCGGACCCCAACCAAGTAGTCTGCATCTACCAACATGGCTCAGACTAGAAGTTAGTGATCGATCCTTGCGATAAATATCGAGTAATCGCCAATTAGATGTTCGAATTTCAAGAATCGATATCTGATTAATGTATATTTTTTTCGATACATATGGCTCGCAACCACGATATCTCTGATTGGGCTCTTTTGTAACTAGTACAACGAAATGTCGTAAACTAATTCTTTCTTCCTGTACTATTGTTATAGCCCCAAGCCGCCAATCAGGAGCAGCGAATTATCGATCGGACCAAGGACGCGTAAAACATGTGCTAGCAGCCTAAAGTCCTAATTTGTCCTACTTTCAGCCTAGCCTAGCCAGTTAAGTCCAGAACACCAGTCTCAGCCTCTGCAATATGAATCATTATATTTCAAACATACTGAGTTCATATACCGATCATACAGACCACATCGTACTAATAAAATATCAAACAACATTTGTGCAAGAATTAGCCAGATGTGGCTGTGAATAAGGGGACAGTGACTAATAGACAGGGAATAATTCAAGAATGGAAAATCATATAATAACAGTTTACAGGTTAAAATAAAGCTTATGATAAGAGAGATATGAATATGAATAGTTTAATTACACAACAATTATACGATAAAAATATACGCATAGTAATGATCCATAAATGGATCCTAAAAGTTAACATTCATTACTCTTATAGGGGCATAACAACTATATCCTTATACACAATCTTTCTTTTATATATTACCACCACTGAAATTACTACTTCTATGAATCCGATGTTTATCTTGTTGTACTAATGAGGCATGACAACTTGAATCGATGCATATATGTGCCTGGTCCTACGTTGTAGCTGACTGACTGACTGACTACACCTTCAATTGACTCACTCAAGAAAAGACTAGACACTCATAGAAGCATACTAGAAAAGGAATAACATAAGTTGCAGGCCTTCTATTCTTACTACACAAATCTGAATCTGATTTGAAACTTCTTCCTTGATTTGTCTTTTACGTACTTTATCATTCTCCCGAAATAGTTGTTATCTTAATTACTCCCTGTTTACCTTCATCTTTTCTTGATTTAAATCTTCTGCTAATAATCATTCTAATTTGATTTTTTTCTACATACTACTTATATCTATCTGTAAGTAGTGCACACCATAGTATACTTATTTAGAAGAGTTTTTATTTATATGGATCACGTTAAAGTGAGTATCTTTGAATAATGATCTTCAGAGTTTCATATTTAATTACTATGATAAATCACATTGTTGTTATGTACATGATACTAGTCTTTGTTGATCCAATTAGTCATTACCGATGTTTATATTGTCAGAAGGATGTTTCATATCAATGTTCTGCATTGATATATCCATACAAAAGTATTACTGTTATAAATAATAATGACAGATATTTTAATAATAAATTCTGTAATTTAATATGGTTAGACTCAGTAAGTTGGTCAGTAACAACATAGAACTTCGTAAGTACGTACATCAGTTCGAGTTGTCATACCACATTACCACACACATACAATTGTTCATTCAAATCCATTGTGGTAGAGGTAGTTAAAGTATAAGCAGTAATCGGAAAGATTAGGGCTTCGAGATGTTATTCAAGGAGTATAATGCAGTGAAATAAATTCGGAAAGAGAAAAATATAGACAAGGAGAATTCAGAAGATCAGAATCTAGGAGAACGCAAAGAGTGGATGTACCTGTACCATTGCAAACGATTTTCAGCCATGTCACATTCAAGGTCTCTAACCATCGGTTGCTATCATCTCGCAGATCTCAACCAGATAGTCTAGACATACCAACATGAGTCAATCCACTAGTCAATGACTTCATGAATTTGTGACATGTTTTGGTGTGGCGGCCCCTAGTTTTCTTCCAATCTACTCCTACATCACAAACATCGCTCGTCGGGGCAGTCGGTGGTTGGGCATACATAACACACGTGACGTTATAGTGGCTTTGAGAATGTCCACCTACTTACTCGAGCTAAATTAGAGTTATAAACCTATGTGAAGAATAAAGATTATGATTTACAACTGATATTTAGGGTTAAGAATTCGATTTACGGTTTTTTTTTCATCATGAACTGATATCAGCTAAAGTATTAAAACTCTATTTGATTAAATGGATGAATGACTATCGCGCCAAATCTGAGACCTGTTATCCTAAATCTGATTCGTTCGTTCATAAATTATAATCTCATCATGTTTTCTATACTTATATATATTTATCAAAAATGTATTATCAACTACACTATATGCTCAAATGTTGATTTAAGTAGTAGATAACCACTTCGAAAATGTTTTGTATTGTTGAAATTCAAATTTGTTAACTTATTGTCCAACAGGATGTTTACACCATTAAATATTTCATTTCTTAATATGTGATTATTTATTTTTGGTTTGGTTGAACACATAAACAATGGTACAAAGCAGCACTGAATACATATGTGCTACACAAGTCACTTGATTTGTGTGTGGGCTGTGACACTGCTTGGGGTCGTTCCCGGAGCCTTCGACCTAAAGGTCTGATCCAAAAGGCAGTGGAGTAACGCCAGGAGATGCAGTCTCATGGTATCCAATGACCAACGATTGGTTCATAGACCCTTTTGTTTCCTCAGGATCCTGGAGCCCATATGCACCATTGGTTTTGAATCAGGATTTTCCAACTCCCCCAGATGAGTTCTTCATATCCACCAACTCAGTTAAACAGCCAGATATTCTCTTTTCGTTCTCTCAATTTCATAAGCAACAGTCCCGTCATGAGAAAGCAGTGAGTAGGAATTCCGTGGTAGTGGATGTATACGCGTGGCCATGTGCAAGTATTTCGAGAGGGAGAGCTGACTCTCCTCACCCTCGACGGTACCAGGGTATTCGGGAGCTTCTATAAAACAGAAAACTCTTCACAAATGAATTCTTTGATACGATAATAGTTTATAGGAAAAAAAGACTTACATGTGAATTGTTTGATATCGGATTTAAATCCATTACAATTATTGGATTTTCTTCATTCTCTGGAAAACGTTCCATATCATTCATAGGTAATTCATCTCGATGATAATTAGTTGAATTGATGTTTGTATTTATTACAGCATCATTATTAGAAGTAGTATATGATCTTGTTTGTGTACAAGGTGAACTGGATCGTGTATTATGCACAAGTTTAGTTCGATCAGAATTTGGCTAAAATGTTTTTATTAAATAAAATAGAAAATAATCTTTCAGAGAGAAAGAAGTTTTTTTTATGAATAGATTTATTTCTATTATGATCTCGAAATTGTAAAGAAAAATATTCAATAAATAGATTTGATATTATTGTTCTTTATCATCTTATCTAAACATAGTACACGCGCCGACGTGCGATGCTTTATGGTGTAGGAGTAGATTGGAAGAAAACTAGGGGTCGCCACACCAGAACATGACACAAATCCATGAAGTCATTGACAAGTGGACTGAGTCATGTTGGTATGTCTAGACTATCTGGTTGGGATCCGCGAGATGATAGAGACCTTGAATATGACATGGCTGAAAATCGTTTGCAATGGTACAGGTACATCCACTCTTTGCGTTCTCCTAGATTCTGATCTTCTGAATTCTCCCTGTCTCTATTTTTCTCTTTCCAAATTTATTTCACTGCATTATACTCCTTGAATAACATCTCGAAGCCCTAATCTTTCCGATTACTGTCTATACTTTCACTACTTCTATCATAATGCGATTTGAATGAACAATTGTATGTGTGTGCTAATGTGGTATGATAACTCGAACTGATGTACGTACTTACGAAGTTCTACTAAAGTACGATATTTAATCTAATCATTATAAAATTTCAATAATCCTATAAGGATTTCAATCTTCAGGTTATTTTTTCTTAATATCCCATTTATGCAGCCTTATCTGTGGATGAATCCAACTATTTCCTACATTAACTTACTTGAAGTTAACATTTTATTTATAAATTCATTCTTTATGTCTACACCTCACACTAAGTCACTTTTGGTTAAGTAAGTTTTCATCAATTGAAATCAACTTTTAGTAAATACAGAACAATATAGGTATTAACAGTGATTCAATCAGTCTTCCGATATTCTATTACCTTAGATGAAGTGTTAACACATAGTCTATAAAATGTCTAGACATATTTGAATTCATGAGTCGATGTTTGTTAGACCAACATTGAAAACCTGGAAGCACTAAACAGCCGTTTCGTCCTTGTATGGGATTCCTCAACTACTCAACTATTAAAATCACTGCAATCTCTACAAACCCTATTCTGAACATAATCATCATGTGCTCACTAGTGACTGACCCTAAGATGATTTCCTGGAGTTCTAGTGAGAAGCCTTGATCAGTGAAGTTCAATCCGTGTTGAATCGAGACAGGTATCTACCTCAAACAACGGATGAATGGTTGCGCGACAATTCATGGAAGATTGAAGTTAGATATTAGCACCGTTGGATGCCGGCTTAATGGTCTAGAGGTTGAGCGTTTGTGCGCGAGACAAAAGGTCCTGGGTTCGTAATACATTTCTTTCAGGATCATGGAAGCGGACTGCTGAGGAGTCCCATTCTAAGAAGAAATGACCTTCTAGTGCTCTCAGGTTTTCAATGGTGGTCTAGCTTACATCGACTCATGAATTTAATTATTAAAATAATTACAATTTCCACAAACCCCATTCTGATCGTAGTTTCAGCTATCTCGTGAATGAAAAAATAGTCACTGATGACATTCGCTAATTGTTTCCGAATCACGAATTCATAACACTGCAAATGTATGCCATCGGATGTCAACCTATAAGTCTAACAAATAAACATTTGCCTGAATGTTCTGGATTCGACGTTTGATGAGTTTGCGAATGCGCACTGCCAAACATTCTCATAATATAATGAAACAGCTGTTCAATGTTACCTGTTTCGAAATGCCACACCATCTGATTTTAATCTATGAATATTACTAATTTCAAATCTACTATACTCACTATTAATAATCAGTTTTTACATATTTTTACACTCCTTAGATTTCAATAGTTGAAATCATGAGTTAATTGAAGCTAGACCACCATGAAAAACCTGGAAGCACTGTATAGCCGTTTCGTCCTAGTATGGGACTCCTCAGCAGTGCGTATCCACGATCCCGCCCCCTTAGATTAAAATTCTTATACTCATCCATATTAACACATATTGTTTGAAAATCTAATTAATTTTGTACAGTTTATAGAAATGGACATGGTTGTAAATAAAATTTTCTTCGCTTAATTATTCGTTATATTATTCATGAGGGTAATGAATTTTAGCTATCTTTGTGCCCTCAAAAATGCTTGGTACGGCCAAGAATGAGGAGAGTCAGCTTTTTCACTCCAAATACTTTCATATGGCCACATGCATACAACCACTACCACGGAAGTCCTACTCACTGCTTTCTCATGACGGGACTGTTGCTTATGAAATTGAGAGAACGAAAAGAGAATATCTGGCTGTTTAACTGAGTTGGTGGATATGAAGAACTCATCTGGGGGAGTTGGAAAATCCTGATTCAAAACCAATGGTGCATATGGGCTCCAGTCTCCTGAGTTGATATGATAATTAGGAGTATTTGAATTATAGTATAAACTAATAATCCCAGAAATACCGTTATGGGATCAAGAACTACTAGATAACCATAAACGAATGTACTGCATTTTGAATTCGAAACCAAGTATTCAACAAGTACAAAGGTAGTTCATTCAAACACCACAGTTGATGATCTTAATCGAATCATTTGTATAACGCATATCTATTTGGTGCCTACCTATATACCAATATTCATGTGCTCATATATAAATATTTAATCATTTCATAGACACTTACTTCTGATCTCGTATTTCTAACATAATTTGTATTATTATTATTATATAATTGTGATGAATTTGTTCGATTTGATATTCGAATTAATGGATCCATTGAATATGATTGATCTTTATGATTTTGTATTTTCTCTTGATCATAATCATGTAAATTTGTAAAATTTTTTTGTTTATTTAAATAATGAATTTCATTGTTATAAGAATTTAAAAAATTTGAAGGCACAAGACCACGACGACCATCTTTTGTTTCACCATAATAAAATCCATCATCATCCATATTACCATAAATGAGAATTTGTTCACCTGCTCGAAAGGATAATTCAGCCTATAAGAAATAGACAACCAAAAAAAAAATCAATAGAATGGGTGAGACTCTAATTTATAGACGACCTTTGAACGAATCTCCGGTAACCTTGAGAAATATTAGCCAATCAGTAAACAGTCAGTATAGAGCCAAAATATATTATACAAAACCAAGGAAATAAAATGGATACACTTCTTATACGTGGTTCAAAAACTTGTCAAGGTTAGGAAGAGGTTCAGAGGTTCTAATATCGTAATGACTACGGTAATGGGAATCATCCATACGGTTACAGAATAGTCGGCCTCTGTAGCCATGATAAGGTTTCAAAAACTCTTTCAGCCTCGACCACATAGCTTCAATAGTGCTTATGTGCACACCGGTTGATGAGTGCACAAAATGTCACTTATGGATAACGACACGATGCACATAACCAAGCCTATGTAGGAGTCTGTACGCTCTCCAAACATCCGTATATTTTGTAGTACTTGGCTGCGGCCAGTGTTACTGGTGCTTTTATTATCCAGTCCGCAATAATTGTCATAATTTGCATTAGTTAGGAATTATATATGGGGTTTTCATCACGAACTGACATCAGCTATAATGCCAGAAATTTATTTAGCCAAATGGATGAAAGACTTTCGCGTTAAAATCAGAGATCTATTATCCTATACCTGATTGATTTGTCCACAAATTATAGTCTCGCCGTTTTATTTGTTACAGCCGCTCAATTATCACGTTTTGTAAAAGATTCCTTGTGAACCGATCGTACGTTAGCCTTAAGCACTGAAGTTGGCGCCGTAACCTTGAAATCTCTAAAACACCTCTAATTGGCTCGTCCATAAATTAGAGTCTCGCCACGATTATTACTTATACTTGAAACGAAGAACCTCTGTAATTTCCATGACACGAAGTTAAGAATACATAGACTGATATGAGTGAAAATTTATTGATCCCCTAAAACACTACGACGACTACGACAAAGATGACGACCCTAGTCGAAAATACACTCATTTATATATTGATTAATACACCTAATTTTGATTAATAATTACAATGAAATCACATATATGAAAAATACTTAGGGTTATAACAAGTTATATGCTGAGTATAGTTCATATTAACTTAATACAAGAATTTTTTTGATTCAGCTCATGAACAGATTGATGTTAGACCGCCATTGAAAACCTGGAAACACCAAAAAAACCGTTTCGTCCTATCGCGGGACTCGGCTTGGTGGTCTAGAGAATGGACGTTCGCGCGAGAGACTAATGACCTTGAGTTCAAATCCCACGAGAGGGGTCGTGGATGCGCACTGCCGAGGAGTCCCATACTAAAACGAAACGGCTGTTCAGTGCTTCTAGGTTTTCAATGGTAGTCTAAGATCAATCGATTCATGATATCAATCAAAATCTTAACAATGTTCACAACTCCATACTGATAATTACTATGTGCCCACTAGTGACTAGCTTCGTGAAGGAATTCTTGGAGTTCTATTGCGAATCCGTGACCAGCGGAGCTAATGTACGTCAAGTAGGGATAGGTATCAACCTCAGTACAATGGAAGATGGTTGCGCAATTTCATGGATTGTATACACTTCATTTAATTGTTCAACTTCTTTATACCTATCACTGTTGATAGCTTTATTGAATCTTCAGTCACCTAATGATAATAATAATAATAATAATCAATTATTGAATAATGGTCTCTTAATAATCATTCAGAAAAATATCAATCTATACAGTAGGACGAATTTTCTTCATTTAAATATAAAGACAGTGTTCACCCATATTTCAAACGTCATATTAATCGTTAACAGTAACCGAGATAAATCCTAACAATAAATGGTATGTAGAGGTGGCTATTACTATATCAAGTTCATATAAGATTATTCTACCTTTTGAATAGACCAATTTATTCATTCTTCTCAAGCAACGCTTCAAGCTTGTCACTTATTTGATTATTAATCTTGACTGATTCTATATGAGCGTATATGTGTGAATGGCTTACCTTATTCACTACGTGTCTGGAACTTATTTTTTTAGTCTGACTATAAATATTGAAGTCAAGCTTAATGAAATGGAATTGGTCTACTCTCCTTCTACACTGTGCGTCACTTCGTTCCATTTTATTTCGTTTTCTTCGCTTTGTTTCTCTAATTGTTTGGTTATATCAATAAGTGTACGAAATATACATATTCAAAACTTCATTCTTCAGTTGAATTAAGTCATTGGTTGATTGTATGTATATGTAATGATAACAATCAACCTATGATGTAACTAGAATCAGATATAGGGCCACTAAAGGTTTATTTAATGCTATAAATGTTGATTACTGTAAAATTTACAAACGACACCAAGTGAATTTAAACTTTACCTTATTACAAAAGTGAGTGGCTATTAGGAATCAGTAGCTAAGTGGGTAACGCTATGATATTTGAACCGAATAGTACTAGGTTCAAATCCCGGATTGAACATCAACTCTGACATACAGGTACACTCAACTGACGAGTCCTAAATAAAACGAAACGCTCTTCCTGGATTCCACTGCTAGCCACTATCCATCTTCGCTTATATAGCTTGTGACTTAAGGCTATATCGAGGCAGTCCGCACAGGATGTGCATATGCCAATAAGAGACTGTTCAACTACAGTCCTAAACATCAGTAGGAAGATATGAGTAAACAATACCAAGGGAATTTAAACTTCACCCTATTGCACAAGCTGGTGACTATCAGGACTCAGTAGCTAAGTCGATAACGTGATGACATATGAACCTTACGGTACTGGGTTTGAGTCAACTCTGAGATGCAGGTACGCCCAGCTGACGAATCCCAAGTAGGACGAAACGCTCTTCCTGGATTCCACTGTTAGCCATTATCCATCTTTGCTTATAAATTTAATACTTCCAAGTTTTATAATTGACATAACACTAACAAATCATCAGTTGGGAATCCAGTTATATACATATATATATTCATTGATTTTCATTGTCTTACTCCAAGCTAGGATAACTACAAAAGGTTATTTATTCTCACTTTCACTTCTTATTTCAAAAATTAATTACCGCTTGAAGCCCCTCTAAGGTGACTGTCGGTCCTTAGTTCGAATAACTGAGAAGGGTTGGTTATTGGGTTAACAACCCTATCCTATAGAGAACTAATTCGCTAGATGATATAAAAAACAAGGCTAACCAGACAAGACAAAATAACAATACAATTGATTTCTTTCTTAACTTACATCAATATCTGGATTAGGACTTAATATATGTGGATCATAATCATAAATAGCAATCATAATTTTTGATTGTTGATTCATTTGTTGTTGTATTGATTCCATTGGTGGTTTATGATGTAATGTATCTAATTTACTTGGTATGATTTGATTCATTGTATTTTGACTTAATTCAGTAGTAGTATTAGTAGTAGTAACAGTAGTAGTAGCAGCAGTGGCAGTAGTATGTTTTGTTTGAGATTGAGAATAATGAAGATTACGATCTTGTTCTAATTCATTAGGTTGTAAATCTTTTAGTTCAATATAATCAGGTATTGCCATTTGTGGATGATATGAATGTTCATTCATAAAATCTATCTATAAATGATTAAAAGAAATAATAATAATGATTACATAATCTATTTTTAAGACAATTAATAATAATAATAATAATATCAATAGTTGAAATCATGAGTCGATTGAAGCTAAACCACCATGGAAAACCTGGAAGCATTGAACGGCCGATTCGTTCTGATATGGGACTCCTCAGCAATGCGCGTCCACGATTCCCCCCACTAGACCACTAAGCCGGCATCCAACGTTGATGATGTCTAACATCAACTATTGAAAGTACCAAAATCTCCAAAAAAACTCTCTGATAATAATAACCCCTCCTGGAGCTCCTCTGGGGATACTGCCGGTCCCAAGCCCGGATAAAGGAGGAGGATTGAGCGTGGGGTTAGCGATCCTATCTCGTAGAAAACTAACTTGTTAAAAAAATAAGAAATCAATAAACAGTCAATATGAAAATCGATCAGTCAATTAGATACAACGTATCCCTAGGCATATATATATATATATATATGATTATAACAACTGTTCCTACAACATATTTCGATTGTGGTTAAATTTTGATAAAACTGTTTTGTAGGCCTCAACATATACGAAGGAAAAACCAAGGTCCTCAAATACAACACGGAGAACACCGACCCAATCACACTTGATGGAGAAAGTCTGGAAAATGTAGAATCCTTAACGTACCTCGGTAGCATCATCGATGAACAAGGGCGATCAAATGCAGATGTGAAGGCGAGGATACGCAAAGCAACAAAAACATTCCTATAGCTGGAGAACATATGGAATTCAAAACAACTTTCAACCAATATCAAAGTCACAATCCACAATACGAACGTCAAGACAGTTCTACTGCACGGAGCTGAAACTTGGAGAACTAAAGCAACGATCATCAAGAAGGTACAAGTATTTATAAATAGTTGTCTAAGCAAGATACTCAACATCCATTGACCGGATACCATCAGCAACAGCGTTCTCTGGGAGAGAACAAACCAGATTCCAACTGAACAGGAAATTAGGTAAAGACGATGGAAATGGATAGGACATACATTACGCAAATAATCAAACTGAATCACGAGGTAAGCCCTAACTTGGAATCCTGAAGGGAAGCGGAAAAGAGGAAGGTCGAGGAACATATTACGGTGGGAAATAGAAGCAGATATGTGAAAAGGATGAATCACAACTGGAAGGAGCTGGAAAGGATTGCCCAGGACAGGGTTGGATAGAGAGTGCTAATAAACGACCTATGCTCCTCCACGATGTGTAACAGGCGTAAGTAAGTAAGTGTGTTGATTAACTTACTTGATGAATTATCGAGGTGATCGATTAACCAAGAAAAGCCATTACAGGTTCATGTTACTATTACCTTGTTAGTACAACAAGATAAACATTAAATTCATAGAAGTAGTTACCTAAATAATTTCAAGAAATTCTGCTTGTCCAATTCAATTCAAAAATATGTATCAGAAGGGGTTTTGTGGAGATTGTAGTGATTTCAATGGTTGAGATCATGAGTCAATTAAAGCTAGACTATCATGGAAAACCTGGGAGCATTGAACTGAGGATTCCTTTACTAGGACGAAATGGTTTTTCAATGCTCCCAAGTTTTCCATGGTAATCTAGCTTCAACTGACTCATGAACGCAACTCTTAAATTTATATTTATTTAATGTAAAATAGATGATCTGATTAGAGATTAGTGAAACGATAGGTCCTAGGTTCGAATCCCTTGAGTGGGATCGTGGATATGCACTGTTCAGGAGTCCCACAATAGATGAAACGGCTGTCCAGTGCTTTGAGGTTTTCTATGGAGGTCCAGCTTCAGTTGACTCATGATCTCAACTATTAAAATACGTACCTAAATATCATATATAATTTGGTTGAAACTATATTCTGATGATATATATCATCCTCTGACTGATTATAACTGGAGGTTCATCAAAAACCATGCAAGCCATACCTGTATATTTCATTTTAATTTAGTATTTTTAAATAGTACATATCTATATTTAACCATGAACTACAGTATATATAAATAACTGAAGAATATTATTAGAATGAGGGTTTGTGAAGATTATAGATGAATTCATGAGTCGATCTGAGCTAGAAAACCTTTGAAAATCTGAAAGCACTGCCTTAAGACCGTTTTATCCTAGTATAGGACTCTCCAGCAATGCGCCTCCACGATCTTGCACCAAAGGGACTTGAACACAGGACCTTAGGTCTCGTGCTCTAACTCATAACCTATAAACCATTGAGTAGGCATCCAACGGTGTTAATGTCTACCTTCAATCGATCCATGAATGGTCGCGCGACCACTCATCCACGTATGGGACTCCTTAGAAAAGGGCACCTACGATCCTTAAACGAAGGAACTCGAACTTAGGAACTTCAGTCTAAGCGTATTATAATGTAATTATCAAAGATATTTCATCAATCCCCTCATTGAGGATTGAGAAATCTTGCGAGGATAAATTGTATTAACAAGAAAACTGGAAAAAGTTGAAATTCAGGTAGTTATTATATTTTTTTGGAGAAGGGTCAGCTTGTATGTGATCTAAATGTATTCATGAAACATAGAGTTTAAACCGAGTTTGCTGTGAGATAGTAACTCAATAAAGACAATGGTGGAGGGTGGATCAATTTAGTGTGTTGGTTGAAATTAGATATTAACACCGTTGGATGTCAACTCAGTGGTCTATAGACTAAGTGTTCGCACGCAAGTCCAATATGTTCGGGGGTTCGAATCTCGTGATTTGAGATCGTGGATGCGCATTGCTGAGGAGTCGCATACTCGGACGAAACGGCCATCCAGTGATTCTAGGCTTTTTATGGTGATCTAGCTTTGATTTAAAAGGTACAGTTCACTAAGCATTAACCAATTACTTAACTATGCATTCTTATTATTGTAATTATGTAAATACTGAGATTAAAATTCTTTTTCCTTTCGATACATTATGATCTTGTATTTCAATGAATTATTATAACATGAGTTAATAAATGGATCTTTTATTGATTCTGATTGATTTTTTGATATAAAACAAACTACATTAATGAACTGCTTGTTAGTGAATGTAAGGAAAAAAATCAGTAACAAAGATTATCTATAATGGTTACAATATTACAACTAATATTGTAAGGAAAGATAGAAAGTGGCTAACAGTGAAATCCATAATGCGCGTTTCATCCTATTTGAGACTCTTCAGTTGGACGTACTTGCATTTTTGAGTTGATGTTCACTCTGGGATTCAGACCCAGTACTGTTTACTTCAGCTGACGGGTCCCAAATAGGACGGAACGCGCATCCTGGATTCCAAAGCTAGACACCATCCATCTTTGCTTAAAAAGCTTGTGATTTCAAACAATATCTAGGCTATCCGTATAGGATGCACATGTATATGAACAAGAGACTGATCAATTGTAGTCTTAAATAACAATTGAAAGATACAAGTATAATAACATTAAGCCAATTTAAACTTCATCCGATTGCACAAGAGAGTGGTTATCAGGACTCAGTAGTAGAGTGAATATTGCGATGGCGTTTGAAGCGAATGGTACTGGTTAGAGTTATAGCGAATCACGTGCAATTGAGTTTATTCTCATTTAACTCAGTTAAGCCCTTTTGCTAACTCATTTAGCGGACAAAGTCATCCTCACTATAAGAATTTATTGTACTCTTATTATTTTGTGCTTGTATGAAATACGTATGCTTGAATATTGCTTACGGCCTACGCATTTATTCACTCTGCTAGTCTTACTACTAACTGATTATTTGATTCGATTACTCATTCATTTCACATGCTATATATGTCCATGTTATTCATATTCAACACTCACTCACTCACTCACTCACTCACTCACTCACTCACTCACTCACTCACTCACTCACTCACTCACTCACTCACTCACTCACTCACTCACTCACTCACTCACTCACTCACTCACTCACTCACTCACTCACTCACTCACTCACTCACTCACTCACTCACTCACTCACTCACTCACTCACTCACTCACTCACTCACTCACTCACTCACTCACTCACTCACTCACTCACTCACTCACTCACTCACTCACTCACTCACTCACTCACTCACTCACTCACTCACTCACTCACTCACTCACTCACTCACTCACTCACTCACTCACTCACTCACTCACTCACTCACTCACTCACTCACTCACTCACTCACTCACTCACTCACTCACTCACTCACTCACTCACTCACTCACTCACTCACTCACTCACTCACTCACTCACTCACTCACTCACTCACTCACTCACTCACTCACTCACTCACTCACTCACTCACTCACTCACTCACTCACTCACTCACTCACTCACTCACTCACTCACTCACTCACTCACTCACTCACTCACTCACTCACTCACTCACTCACTCACTCACTCACTCACTCACTCACTCACTCACTCACTCACTCACTCACTCACTCACTCACTCACTCACTCACTCACTCACTCACTCACTCACTCACTCACTCACTCACTCACTCACTCACTCACTCACTCACTCACTCACTCACTCACTCACTCACTCACTCACTCACTCACTCACTCACTCACTCACTCACTCACTCACTCACTCACTCACTCACTCACTCACTCACTCACTCACTCACTCACTCACTCACTCACTCACTCACTCACTCACTCACTCACTCACTCACTCACTCACTCACTCACTCACTCACTCACTCACTCACTCACTCACTCACTCACTCACTCACTCACTCACTCACTCACTCACTCACTCACTCACTCACTCACTCACTCACTCACTCACTCACTCACTCACTCACTCACTCACTCACTCACTCACTCACTCACTCACTCACTCACTCACTCACACGCTCTCGTCTCGCTCTTGCTCTTGCTCTCGCTCGCTTGCTTGCCTATCGGCACAACTCTTCTATGCTTGTTTAACGCATCTGTACATTTGGATATATGTGTATGGTCTCGTAATAAACGTAATCAACACTTCGTATTTGCCTTCTGATTAATATACCGTTCGGACGTTATATAGAACGGTTATCAAGACGAACTGTATACGAAGTTTAAGGATTATATGGAATACCGACCACCACAGAGTTTCGGAGTGAACATCCACTTTGAGATGCAGGTACACTCAGCTGACAGGTCCCAAATAGGACGAAACACGCGTCCTGGATTCCACGGCTAGATAATTTTAATCTTTGCTTAAAAAGCTTGTGATTTATGGCTATGTTAAGGCCATCCGTATAGGATGCATATATATATATAAACAAGAGACTGATCGTTTGCAGTCTTAAATAACAATTGAAAGGTACAAGTATCATAACACCAAGTGAATTGAATAATGTAAGGATTTATGTTTTCATAACTATGTATATAGAAATATAATTTAACTTACATTTCGAGGAACAGAATTAGTTTGTGAAATTAATGCATCATATTTTTTAGTTGTATAATAATTATGAGTTGGTGAATTCATTTGTCCATGTAAATTAATATCAGTTGAATAAGTTTTATTAAGTTGATCTGATGGTTGTTGATTCATATCTATTAGATTTGAATGAGAATCTATTGAATGATTAAGTTTTTGTGGTCTTAATGAATGTGATTGTAATTCAGAAACCATATTTGATGGAACTAATCCACGTAGACCATTACATTCACCAAGATAAAATCCATCTTCATCACATTCAGTAAGAATCTAAATAGATTATAAAGTTAGTTAAATACAAATATCAGATCGGTTTTGTGGATATTATGGTAATTTTAATGGTTAAGATTATGAATCAGTTGAAGCTAGACCGGTCGTTTCATCCTATTGTAGGACTCCTCAGCAATGCGCATCCAGTGCTTCCAGGTTTTCCATGGTGGTCTAACTTCAACTGAGTCATGATCTTAACCATTTAAATACAAATAATTTATTAATTTATGGATATTGTTTATTACTGATAGCTTATGGTATAATAAAAAAAATATGTGATTGGGATGTGTCTGTTGATCACTGAATATTGATAAGACATTTAAATGTTTCACATCCGACACCGATTGAACTCCAGTGGTTAAGACGTTTCATTAGGAGCCGAAAAGTTACATCCTAAAGATGGTCACCGGTGGCCCCCCAAATGCTCTGTTACGGCCAAGGGAGAGTCTGCTCTCCCTCTTCAAGTGTTCTCAAATGGCCACACGTACACAGCCATTACCAGGGAACTCGTATTCACTGCCTTCTTGAGGCGGGGGTATTGTTTGCGAAACTCAGACGATGAGAACCGAATATCTGGCTCTTTAACCGGGTCGCTGAACGCGGAGTTGGAAAACATTGATTTCAAACCAATAGTGCACAGGGGATTCAGTATCCTGAGTGAACAAATGGCGTATGAGCCAATCGTTGGCCACTGACCACCATGTGACTGCATCACTTTATGGTGTGACGTATGACTAAGATTTTCCTAAGCTGAAGCTGTAGTGTGTGCTACTGATGTCGACAGATATAAGTAGTGAAATGCCTGGAGGCAGAAGGTTGAGAAGATCTAAGAAAAGAGAACAAAAACAGAGAATGATAGACGTAGACCACTGAGCTAGCCAGCATCCAACGGTGTTAATATGTCTAACTTCAGTCAATCCACGAAATTGCGCGACCATCCTCCATTGTAGTGAGGTAGATACCTGTCTCTACCTGACAGGACAAAACGGCCATCTAATGCTCCCAGGTTTTCAATGGTGGTAAAATATCAATCGGTTCATGATCTCAATAAAAAACCAGCATCAAATCTTATTTCGAGTACTTTGTTTATTTCAAAGGTTTTAAATCAGTCCGTCCTAAAGATCTTGTTTCTGACTGTTTGTCATAACTAGTTTTAGTGTTGCCATTTGTCAGTCTTGTTTCGTTAGCTGTTTTCTTCAGTTAATCTACATCCAAGTGATTAGTTAACCCTTCCAGCATGGATTAAATAAATCGAGTTTATATCAATGTCTAGGAGATCCATTTCTTAATGTACAACCAATATGAGCGGTAGAGCGGACAAATGACCAACTATCATAAGAAAAAAGTGATATACATCTGAGCTGGCTGATAATGATTAAGTGAATTATTTATTTGCGTGAACAAGAATTCAGGTGGAGAAGACCAGTTGATCGTTCAATGCATAATCACACAATGGTCTAGTACAATGTGAAAATCATACATCAAATACACCATTTGTACATCTTCTTTGAATTATCGCTTACAAGCTTCATTGTTCCTCCATTCCTGTTGTTATCTTGGTTGCTTTTAGTCACCTTCTTTCTTCTCCTTATTTCAATCTTCTAAACCTTGTGCTCTCAAAAATTCCACTTCCGACTACTACTACTACTTGTATCTGTAAACATAAGTACCATACACCACAATTACTTAGATTTTTTCGTTAACCTGGCAACTGCAAAGACTATTATTCGTCTATCAACAATAAAGGTTCCTATATAAATTTAGTCTTCCTTCATTACGTAACTAATTGATATAACTGTTTTTTGACTCAAAGCATTCATAATGAAACAAAATCAATTAATATATACTTATTATTAGACAAAAAATAATTTCAATAGTTGAAATCATTAGTCAATTGAAGCTAGACCACCATGAAAAACCTGGAAGCACTGGACGGTTGTTTCGTCCTAGTATGGAATATTAACACCGCCGGATGCTGGCTAACTCAGTGATCTAGTGGTTAAGCGCTTGCGCGTGGGACTAATAGGTCCTGGGTTCGAATCTCGCTGGGTGCGGGATCATGAATGCGCCTTGTTGAGGAGCCCCTTAATAGGACGAAACGGCCGTCCAGTGCTTCCACGTTTTCCATGGTGGTCTAGCTTGAGTTGGCTCATGATTTCAACTATTGAAATTACTAAAATCTCCACAAAACCCCTTCTGATAAAAAAATAATTTAACCAACCTTGATAAGTTGTCCTTCTCGAAATGGTAGTTCTTCTTGTGCACCGTCAATATTTGGTGACATAGTAGTTGGATCATAATCATATAAGGCTACTACAACTTGTATTGGTTTCAATTCACCATGGCCCATTCGATTTGAATAATCATCATTAATGTCTAAATAGAAATTAAAGTGAATAGGAAATGTGTCTAACAGTAAAATTAAATGCATCATTACGATTAAAGTATGATGAGCATCTTTTTAAGCAAAGATGGATAGTGGCTGGCAGTGAAGTTCAGAAAGCGCGTTTCGTTCTATTAGGGACTCGTCAGCTGGATGTACCTGCATCCCGGAGTGAACATCAACTCTCGTGTGCAAGTACATCCAGCTGACAAGTCCCTAACAAGACGAAACGCACTTACTGGATTTCACTGCCAGCCACTATCCATCCTTGCTTATAAAGCTTGTGACTTAAGGCTATATCGAGGTATTCCGTACAAGATGTACATATTCCAACATGAGACTGGTCAATCGCAGTTCTATATAACAATGGGAAGATACAAGTAAAGCAACAACGAGTGAATATAATGAGAATCGTTGAAATTTCACTCTTATTTTGAACTGTTCAAAAATTAACGCCTATCACTTGTATATAAGATCAAACCCTGGATCCTCTGTTAATAAATGTCTGTACAGTTTTCTTTTAGTGTTGAATAAATATACCAGGAGGGGTTTTCGCGGATATTATAATAGTTTCAATAATTGAAATCATGAGTCGATTCAAGCTAGACCACTATGGAAAACCTGGAAGGGCTGAACGGTCGTTTTTTATACTATTGTGAGACTCCTCAGTAGTGCACATTCACGATCCCGCCTCAAGAGATTCGAAGACAGAACCTATCAGTCTCGCTCACGAACGCTTAACCTCCAAACCATTGAGCCGGCCGGCATTCAATGGTGTTAATGTCTAACTTCAACGTATTCACGATATTGAGCGACACATCCACCATTGTCTTCAGTGAGTTAATATCTCACAACAGACCCAGCTGAACTTCACTGATCACCGCTTCTCACTAGAGCTACAGGAAATACTTCTTGAAGTCAGTCACTGGTGAACATATGTTGATTAGTATCAGAAGGGGTTTTTGTGGATATTATAGTAATTTTAATAGTCGAGATCATGAGTCAATTGAAGCTAGACCACCGTAGAAAACCTGTAAGCACTGGAAGGTCGTGCCGTCCTAGAATGGGACTTTTAACAGTGCGCATCCACGATCCTACCTCACGAGATTTGAACCTAGGTTCTATCAGTCTCACAATAAATATACGTCTTCATCCTTTAGTTCATTATAATATTAAATATAGAATGTCTTTAGTATTGCCATAAATGTTAAGTAAAAAGGAGTTTCAAAACCCAAAAAAGACAAATACGTTTTAACCTGTACGTCTTAATGTTCTGTAAATGTTCTTTGGGAAACTTAGTAAAGAAGACAGGTGCTTATAATGGGTCTAACTTTACAGATTTGTTAATCATCTGATTACCTGAAGGTTCTGTAGAAACATTTCACTAAACTGAATATAATTACGGTTATATTAAGTGGACGTTAAGCTTTATATATCCCCATAATTTTAAAGATTAAACGTTGATGAAATACACCAATAAATTACGTAAAACCAGTCAAATTTACTGTCTATTCAAATCAAATTAACTTGTATATTTAAATGTAAATGTGCTTTTGGTGTATGCTACTTATGTTTATAGATATAAGTAGTATGTAACATTAGTCGGAAGTGGAATGTTTGAGAGCACAAGGTTTAGAAGATGTAAATGAAGAGAAGAAAGATGGAAACGGAAAGCAATCAAGATAACAACAGGGATGAAGGAACCGTATCTGGGTAGCATCATCGATGAACGCAAAGAATCTGTTACAAACGTAAAGGTGAGAATTTGCAAAGCAAGGAACTGATTCATACAGTTGAAGAACATAGGGAATTCGAAATAACTGTCAACCAATATCAAAACCAGAATCTTCAATGCGAATGTCAAGACAGTTCTATTGTATGGAGCTGAAACTTAGAGGACTACTACAACCACTATCACTGATTGTGCCAGTCTATAAGAAAGGACAAAAGTCCTCTTGTGACAATCACAGAGGAATCAGTTTGACTAATATAGTGTCTAAAATATTAGCTTCAATAATACTTCGACGCCTAATCAAAGCTCGTGAAGAGCAGACTAGAGAAAACCAGGCTGGTTTTCGACCTGGACGTGGTTGTATAGATCAGATATTCACACTACGTCAGGTTCTAGAACACAGACACACATTCAGACGCCCCACAATGGTAGTATTTCTCGACCTTAAGGCGGCATTCGACTCTGTTGATCGTGAGGTTCTATGGCAGTGTTTGTCACTGAAAGGAGTACCAAAGAAGTACATTAACCTTATAAAGGCTCTCTACTCGAACACAACTGGTAGAGTGAGAGCTTATGGCGAACTGTCATCAGAATTGATTACCTCAAGTGGTGTTCGTCAGGGCTGTCCACTCTCCCCATTCTTGTTCAACTTTGTCATTGACGTACTTTTAGAGATAACACTCTCCTCATCTAAATTTACAGGGGTTGAACTTCTACCGGGAGGTTCACTTGTTGACTTAGAATATGCTGATGACATAGTTTTATTTGGTGAAGACGCTGACAAAATGCAGAGTCTTCTGACCACTCTAAGCAACAATGCAAGCATGTTCGGGATGCGATTCTCCCCCTCGAAATGCAAAATGTTGCTTCAGGATTGGGTTACATCGACACCCGAACTAGTGATAGGGAGTGAAGTAGTTGAGTGTGTCGACCGCTTCACTTATCTTGGAAGTCTCATCAGCCCTTGTGGTTTGGTGTGTGACGAAATCTCAGCACGGATACAGAAGGCTCGACTAGCTTTTGCCAACTTGCGTCATTTATGGCGTAGGCGAGATATCCGTCTATCAACCAAAGGACGTGTTTACTGCGCAGCAGTTCGTTCCGTCCTACTTTATGGCAGTGAAACATGGCCGGTAAGAGTAGAGGATATCCGTAGGTTACTAGTATTTGATCATAGGTGTCTTCGAAACATTGCTCGTATATCATGGGACCATCGAGTAAGTAATGCAGTTGTTAGGAAACGGGTACTAGGTAAGGATGGCAAATCAATTGATGAAGTAGTGAAACTTCATCAGTTGAGATGGCTGGGACACGTGTTACGTATGCCCAACGACCGACTGCCTCGACGTGCTATGTTCAGTGGTATAGGAGTAGGTTGGAAGAAAGCTAGGGGCGGCCAGACCAAAACATGGCACAAGTCCATGAAGTCACTGACAAGTGGTCTGAGTCATGTTGGTAGGTGTAGACTACCTGGTTGGGGACCGCGAGATGATAGCAACCGATGGTTAGAGACCCTGAATGACATGGCTCAAAATCGTTTGCAATGGCGCAGGTGCATCCACTCTCTGTGTTCTCCCAAATTCTAATCTTCTGAATTCTTCATGTCCCTTTTTTTCTTCTTCCCAAATTTATTTCACTGGATTATACTCTTTAAATAACATCTCCAAACCCTAATCTTCCCGATTACTGCTTATACTCTTATTACCTCTACCACTACGGGATTCGAATCGACCACTGCATCTCTGTGCTAATGTGGTGTGGCAACTCGAACTGATGTACGTACGTACGAAGTTCTACGTTGTTACTGACTGACTGACTGAGTATTTACAAACAATCGTCTACTTAAGATACTGAATGTTCGTAGGCTGGATATTATCAGCAACAACGTACTGTGGGAAAGAATAAACCAACTTCCAACTGAGGAAGAAATTAGAAAAAGACTTTGGAGTTGGATAAGGAGCACACTGAGAAAATGATCAAATTGGATTGCAAGGCAAGCGCTAACTTGAAATCTGGAAGGCAAAATAAAAAAAGACAGACCAAAGAACACATGGCATCGTGAATTGGAGACAGCCTATGCTTCTCCATAAGGGGTAACAGGCGTAAGTGTCAAAGTGTATAATTTGTCATTACTCATACAGATTTCTGATCATAACTGTGATCACATATCCCGACAGGCAATACATATATATATATATATATATATATATATATATATATATATATATATATATATATATATATCACTGTTCACACAAAATGATTAACTTCTACCACACTTCCGAAGTGTTGTAGTAATTCAATAAAACACTGATAGTAAATTCAGTATCGTTGTTAGTAAGTAGTCATTAATGTTTATCTAATGATACCATGTTTAATTTGTTCATGATAAGTAACTGTTTAGATTGATTACCATTCTGATGAGCTTCGATAAACTGCTAAATCAATACAAGAAAGTATAAGGTGTATAAAGTGTTTACGTGCTTAAACTACATTACCAACTATTTCAGTGTCAGTAGTTGAGATCATAAGTCAATAGAAGCTAGGGCACCATAGAAAACCTGGGGACACTAGACGGCCGTTTCCTCCCATTGTGGGACTCCTCGTCAGTGTCTTTTTCACCGAGAAAACGAAGTTTGGATATTTCAGACATTTTTTTATGAATGCATAGTAGATTGTGATCACATATAATATCGGATCAAATTATAAAAGTTCACTTGTTAAAAGATTGATAAGATATCTAAAATTTTCAAGGATAAATTGCTGTGTCATTGAGTTTAAATAATTAAAACGGGTAATAGTAATTCTTACTTCTTTGATTTCTGCCATATTGTTGTTCATTTTGTATAAATGATTTGCTTGATCGTGAATATTGTGATCCAACTGCTTGTCTTAAACCACTTCCTTGATCGCCTGATCTACAGTTTTTCATGTTGACTTGATTAAATGAAGGTCTGTATTCATGTTGAGGTATTGGACCGGATGCTGGTGATGGTATGTTATAATGAAACGGTCTCTTCGGTCCAGATGTATATGTATCTGATGGTATTACAGGACGTGGATAGTCAGGATCATGACGTGTTACTGAGAAGTTAGAAACGCTCATCTGTGGATCATATGAACCATGTCGTCTGGTATCCATAAAACGAGATCGAATAGGTCTAGTTGGTCCACGAAAATCCTGGTAGGAATATCGTGACTGTTGTTGATAGTGATCATTTGCTTGGAATTGAGGTTCATTGTCTGATAAGCTACTATTCCGTGTTATTTCTGAGTAATAGAAAATAAATAAATAAATATTGATTTGAAAATGACTTTTTAGACAATTTCCAGCCTAATACATCAATTATTATTCACTTTATAAGGGATCAGTAATATATAGAAAAACTGATAAAACGTTGCGTAAAATATTTTAATTTTATCTATGTAACATCTGATCATCTTCATCTTCAATAGGTTTATTCAGATTGTCTTAGACACAATAAGTTGAGCCGTTAACTGCGAATACCATCACGAGTTGGGCTTGTTCTCATTCAAATGAAAAAGGAAGAGAGGTAGTCTTATCTTGATTACTATATAACTGAAGTCATTTCAGAGATGGGAACTTAAGGGACAACTGCAGAAATATTTCTAATAAAAATGTATAACCACATGTCTTTATCATAAGAGAACTGCATTCTTCAATGATATGTCAGTTAATGCAATCATAGTTCATTTAGTAGTCATCAAAGAAAGGAGGCTAGAAAATTATCTATATTATGATCAATGTCCATCTCTAGCTTGAGTCTTGGATAAACTCATTGAACAGTTTACTATTTCATCAACTGATTTCATATACTTCTCTTGAATTTTCACAAGGTATACCTAATCAAACGATAGCTTGGTGACATGACTAAAGACGATACTAATAATCCATTACTGTGAATAAACTCGCTCATCTTCTCACATAATTTTATCAACTTTCAACTACCTGTCAATTCCACTAGGACTACTGCAGCTAAATTGGACTCACCAGGACCACAACATCAAAGTATGATGGTAAATGAATGAAATAGTTTATATTCGGTCTTCAAGAGCGTCATGGGTAGTAAAAACTATTAGTATAAAAATCTATTTCAATTCGAATTCTACATAGCTAAAGATTCTGAACTCTACCGTTCAACTATGATGAGAGGTCCAAATTACGAATCATAAGTGTTTATTATCTGAAAAAAAGTATTGCTTATATGAGCGATGACTGATGACGAAAATAATTGTGTGACAGTTTCTCTTTTGAATACTATAATATTGTGTTGTGTGCTACTGATGCCCCCCTCCCCCCTTCCCCCCTTCCAGCCAAACAAGTTGGTGAAGCCTAGTAAGTCCTTCTGGAGAGAAACAGGCCACATCAAAGCACGGTACAACTACCGGGGCTAGAATAGATGTTTCTGCAATCCTTTGGAGTTTGCCCAATGACGAGCAACTCCTTATGATACATGCAGCACTTTCGAGAAAATTTTTTGTCTTTTTCCATTCCAAATATAGTTGTGCTATGTTTATCTGTGGAGTTCGTAATCATTTGGTGGGTATAGGTAAGAGTGGGTGATTAGCCCGATCTCCACCACCCGGGATACCGCTCACGTTAGTTCATGGGTCATTCGTCTGATTATCCAGAAGGCACGACGCGGACGTGTGAGTCGGATTTTGCCTGATGTCAACAGATATAAGTAGTATGTATCATCAATCGAAAATGAAATGCCTGGAGAAAGAATGCTCAGGAGATAGAAGAAAAGACAATGAGAACTGAGAGTGATTGATGTGCTGAAAACATCTTGTATTAGAAGAAAACAACTCTTCAGTGTCTCCTAACTTTTAATAGTTATCTAGTTAAAGTCAGTTTATGGTACAAAAATACAAATGTTTAACTCAACAATATATCTAATGTATTACTGATCTGTACCCTAATTGAATTTCATATCAAGTTATGCAATCAAATACAAACATGAAATTATATGGTATAATTCAATTTGAACAAACATTCGAGAGTATATTTCAGCTTAATTTTATAAAGGTGAATATTTAACTGATTGTAATTACTCTGTTAACATAAATTGAATTCATCCAAAATCTAGGGTTGTTTTCTTAGTCTTTAGCTATTAAAAAGAACGGAAACTTTTAAGTGATCATGAAATGAAGGTTGACCTAGAATACCCTGGTATGGTTGAATGTGGGGGGGTTTCATTCACCTTCTTACATAGCCTCACGTATACAATCTATATCATGGAAGTCCTACTTACTGCCTTCTCGTCGTAGGAGTATTGTTTATGAAATTCAGAGAATGAAAAGCGAATATTTGGCTTTTTGATCGGATTGATGGACATGAAGGGTTTATCTAGTGGAGTTAAAAAACCGATTTCAAACCAATGGTACACATGGGCTCCATGACCCTGAAGGAATAAAAGGCGTATGAATCTATTGTTGGTCACCGGTTACCACGAGACTACGTCCCTCAACGTTGATCCACTACCTTGTGGATAAGACTTCGAGGTCAAAGGTTCTGGGCGCAGCCCTTTAGGGAAACCATCTGCTTCAGATTAGGCATCTGAGTAGTATTCCAGTTGTCATACAAATCGGATGACGAAGTGTGGCGTATATATGTTTGGTGCCTCCTTAAACCAATCTCTATGTATTTAAATGATAATAATAACTAATCGATGAAGATTGGATTGTGCATGCAAAATAAGTATTCTATCTTTGTCTTCAAAGTATAATTGGCTCCAAGTGCCCTGGTACTGTTGAAAGTGGGGAAAGTCCTCTCTCCATCTCGAAATATATACGTAGTATTTGCATATGACGCCTAGTTTATAATTTCCTATTCTCTTGACTTCTATTCATAAATGTTTCCCAAAAATAAAAACAATGTCTTAAGCAATTCCACATATACAGTTATACAACTTGATAATCATTTCATAGAAAAATAATGAGATCTTTTCACTGAATTTTTTGGTATTTTTAGCGTTATGAATATTTGAATAATAGTTTTTATTAATTGAATTCATGAATCAATTAAATTTAGACTACTATGGAAAACCTGGAAGCATTAGACAGCTAATTTGTCTTAGTATGGGACTCCTCAGCAGTGATCATCCACGATCATGCACGTGAGACTAAAACCCAGGACTTTCAATCTAGCAGATGAACGCTTAACCTCTAGACCACTGAGGCGACCGGCATTCAGTGGTGTTAATTTCTAAATTAAAACAATCTACGATATTGTGCAACCCCTCACCATTGTTTTCAGTGAGTAACAGCCTCTACAACAGATACGGTTGAAGTCTATTGGCCACAGCTTCCCACTAGAGTTCCAGGAAATACCCCATGAAGTTATTCACTAGTGAGCACATGATTATTGACGGAATGGGATTATGTGGATATTGCAGTAGCTTTTAATAGTTGAATTCACAACTCGAGACCGAAGGTCCTGAGTTCGGTTCTCGTGTGCGGGAATGTGGATGCATACTGCTAAGTCCCATACTAAGACGAACCGGCCGTTCAGTCCTTCCAGGTTTTCAATGGCGGTCTCAGTCAGTCAGTAACAGCGTAGAACTTCGTACGTACGTACATCAGTTCGAGTTGTCATACCACATTAGCACACAAATAAAAATTGTCGATCCAAATCCTGTAGTGGTAGAGGTAGTGAAAGTATAAACAGTAATCTGAAAGATTAGGGCTTGAAGATGTTATTCAAGGAGTATGACCCAGTGAAATAAATTTGGAAAGAGAAAAAAAAGAGACAAGGAGAATTCAGAAGATTAGCATTTGGGAGAACACAGAGTTGATGCAACTATGCCTTTACAAACGATTTTCAGCCATGTCATATTCAGGGTTTCTAACCATCGGTTGCTATCATCTTGCAGATCCCAATCAGATAGTCTACACCTACCAACATGACTCAGTCCACTTGTCAATGATTTCATGGAGTTGTGTCATGTTTTGTTCTGGTCGCCCCTAGTTTTCCTCCAACCTACTCTTATACCATTGAACATCGCACGCCGGGAGAGATACAGGTACATACAGGACGAAACGTGGGTCCTGGATTCCACTGCTGGCTATTATCCATCTTTGCTTAAAAAGTTTATGGCTTAAAGGTATATCAAGGTAATCCATACGGAATGCACATACAACAATAAGAGACTGATCAATCGCAGTCTTAAATAACAATGGGAAGATCAAAACAAGCGATACCAAGTGAATTTAAAACGTCACCCCATTACACAAGTACGTCGTTATCAGGACTCAATAGATATGTGGATGACGTGACGGAGTTTGGAACTCAGTAGTACTGGGTTAGAATCCCAGAGTGAATATCAACTCTGAAATACAGGTATATCCAGCTGACGAGTCCCAACTAAGACGAAATGCCCATCCTGGACTCCATTGTTAGCTACATTAGATCTTTGTTAATCATTCATGCAATAAACGACTATTTTATGATATTTTCTTTACTTTAGTTTTATTCATATAAGTTATTTGAAACTATGAATGACGGGTTAATCTTTTATAATTACAAGATAATAGTCAATTACATAAAACCATATTACTTAATTGCATATCAAAACTCTAATGGTTACAATCTAAATAGAACTTGATACACATGTACATTAGTCCAAGTTTTCACATAATATCAGTACAGTGAGATGAAGTTATTAAGATATATGGCACAGTAATAGGAGTAGTAGTAACAGTGTCAGTGGTAGTAAGAAACACTGTGTAGAATATATGATTCAAAAAGGAAGAATGAATTTAAAGAATACAAAGTATAGGATAATTTTATAACTCGTAATGTGAGGCGGTGAAAGAGTGATCAAGATCACTAGGCGAACGTCAGTTAATCAACCGGGTCTGTTGTGAGACAGTAACTCAATGAAGAAGATGATAGACGGTGATGAAATTTCGTGGATTGGTTGAAGTTAAACAATAACACGGTTGGATGCTTGCTCAGTGGTCTAGAAAGACCGAAGATCCCGAGTATGAATCCCTAGAGTGGTGTCATGAATGCACACTGCTGAAAAGTCCCATACTAGGACAAGACGGTTGTTCAGTTTTATAGGGTTTCCAATGGTAATCTAGCTTTAATTGATTCATGAATTCAACTATTAAATCCTTTATGAGCATATCTTCTGTGAATTTATTCATTAAATAATTAGTAATTAGCATTATCCAATGTTTTGTTCACCAAACTTGTCAGAATTTTTATCAGGATAATAAAGAGGATCAAAATTACCAAAGACAATATATTGAATTCTGATAATGAGATGAAGTGAACGTGTTGAGTGCTAGCCGAATATGAATATATGGACACGAGATTTCAGAATATCTCACTGAAGTCTGAGAACCATACAGTAAATACTCAATTTATATCAATCCATTGTCTCAGATTTCGTTGTTTTTACATTTTCATACTAATTGCCTTCGGTTTCTGTTCTTTCCTTATCGATCTTCTACTGAAATACATTCTACAGTTACATACTACTTATGTGGATATAAGTAGTTCACACACTCATATAATTCAGCAGTAATATCTTAGAATGTGCAACAATCTAATGCAAGAAAAATATCTCCAAAATTAAAAAAAACACTGACGATTTAGTGGTGTTAAAACGCGTCGAGTCTAGATCATGATTATGGTGTTTATTGTTAATGATTAATAGTCTTTTTTAAGTTATTTACATAGTTGAATTCATCAGTCAATTAAAGTTAGACCATCATGGAAAACTTTTCAAGCACTAGATGTCTGTTTCGTCTTAGTAAGGGACTCTTCAGAAATGCGCATCCTTGATCCCGCCACGCGAGATTCGATTCCAATCATATTCATATATCTGAACTTGATGTAATATAAGCATTACAAACATACACAATTGACAACATGGAATAGTATATACTTACGAATTTCCGGTAATGAGAGATTTTCATGAGGATTAACATGGCCAGAATAATACTGTTTGTTTGAAAAAAGAAATATGGATAAAGAAATTAGATAAATCATGCATAAACTGGGTAATAGAATGTTGTAAATTCATTAGACACATCTAACAGACATGCATGGGATATTATTAACATGAATAAAAATGTCATGTGCACAAGTACAACAACAGTAAAATGTAAAAAGCGCTGAAAATGGATAGGACACATATTGAGGAAAGCACCCTACTACGTCACAACACAAGCCGTTAAATATGGAATTCTTAAAGCTAAAGGAATAGAGGAAGAACAAATAGCACATAACCCAGAGAAATGGAGACGAATATGAAAAGAATGAACAAAAGTTGGATAGAACTAGAAAGGAAAGCCCAGGATAGAGTGAGTTGGAGAATGCTAATTGGTGGCTTATGCACCATTGAGGAGTAAAAGGCGTAAGTAACTAAATAATTGTAATTAAGATCGTAAACTGATCAATATTAGAACATTATTGAAAACCTGGAAGCACTGGACGATCATTTTGTTCTATGGATCCATTTTGAGTTGTTATAAACTTATATATTGTTACTTAAAATAAAAGTATCACATAGTAACAAATGAAAACCATTGTTTAAAAAAATATAGATACAGTTCAATTATGTTTCTCTAACTAACCATGGAATTATCTTAATAGTTGAAATCACGAATCATTTGAAGCTAGACCATTATGGAAAACCTGAAAGTACTGAATGGTCGTTTCGTCTTATTGTGTGGCTTCTCAACAATGCGCATCCACGATCCTGCCTCGCAAGATTCGAAACTAGATAGTCCGCGTCGGATAGAGACAAGTATCTACCTCAGATAATGGAAGATGGTCACGCAATTTTATGGATTGGTTGAGGTTAGACATTAACACACTAACCAGCTTAATGGTCTAGAATGAGAATGAAGGCTCTGGGTTCGGATCCTGCGAGTAGGTTCATGGCTACTCACTGATAAACTGTCCCACAATAGGATAAAATGACCATCCAATTGAATCATGAAATCAACTATTAAAATTACTACAATGTTCAGAAAAAATCCCTTCTGATACTGCATTTAAACCAACAACAACAACAACAACAACGACAGCGACAACAACAACCAATACTGATTAGTGTAATTTACAACAGAAAACCTCAAGACAACAATTAGTTTCTAAGTGATTCCTTCTATTTTTTTTATTACCCTATCTCTAATTGACCATTGTTGATGTTCAGTTCCTAATGGTAATGGACGATGATATTTAGATCTTTTATGAATCGGTCTATTTGATAGATTATAATCGATTTCTTTATTTCTAGGTGAATATATAGATCTGTTCAATTTATGTAATTGTTTAGGACTTGTACTATGACTTCTTATATTTATGGAATACGTTTTAGGGTATACAATTTTATTCATATAATTTTGTTGATTCGCTTTTATTCTATTTAAATATCTTTCATCATCACCATCATGATTATTAGATGATGAAGATATTATTGGATATTGATTATTGATATATTGATTAAATAAACGTTTTGATTGATGCTTTGGTGATATTCTTCCATGATAAGTATAACTTTTAAATGATTTTGGATCATTATATAAATGTTGAGTTTTATGAATAGGATACACTTTATCATTATTATTATAAAAATAATGTATATGTTTATTCAATTGAATTCTATCCCTTTTATTAAATTGTCCTAATGAATTATAATATTCATATGGATAAGATTTATTAAAATGATGCCTTAATACACCACGTGGTTTCCATTGACGATTTGGATAATCCGCTGTTAAATTATATGATGAAGATGTACGAAACCATTGATTATTATGACTGGATATTATTGATGTATCACTTGATATAGAACTATTGAATGATCCTTCATGATCACTATTATAATAATGATAATAATGATCTTTTATATTATTTAAGTCATAATCATCTGATATAGATCTAGTTTGATCAAATTTTGATTTTGTTTCTTGTAAATGATATGGATTATCAAATTTTGAATATTGATTATATTGATTTATTGATGATTTTTGTATAGATGATATATTTTGATTAGAATGATTTATTTTAGTTAATGGATTATGATCAGTTAATGAATGTGGATCATTATTATTATTATTATCATGATCATTATTATCGTCTTTTAACTCTTGTTTTTCTAACTTACGACGAAGTAATAATGCCTAAATCAAAACAAAAAAATTTCCAATAATAAATCAATATTCAAAAGTCGATATTGATTAGACGGATTCGTTTGATTCCAGTAGTTGAAGGTAAAATTGACTTCAAATCATATATGTATATGTATATACTAGGCGAACGCTTAACCCCTAGACCACTGAGTTGGCCAGCATCCAACAGTGTTAATGCCTAACTTCAAACAATCCACGAAATTACACGACCATTGTATTTAGGTAGATACCTGTCTCTACCCGACACGTATTAGCTCTAAAAGAATTATTGATAGTAAGGTGATCAAATATGTATTTTCGTTTTTTTGTTTTTGTTAATTATATGTTTATACGTAAATAGGCCCTGGGTTCGAATCCCGCGAGAGGAATCGTGGTTGCACACTGCTGAGGAGTCCCACAATAGGACGAAACGGTTGTCCAGTGCTCCCAGGTTTCCAACTGTGGTGTAACATCAATCGGTTCATGATCTCAATCAAAAACCTAATAATCTCCATAACCCCTATACTAGTAACATTCTTTTTAATGGTAGTTTGGTTTTAAATAGAGTGAAGGAATTCATTTGATGTTGCTTAATTGTATCTTCTTTGCTTATAAAGCTTGTGAATTAAGGCAATATAGAGGAGATACGCACTGTATGCACATATCCCAACAAGAGACTGGTCAATAGCAGTCTTAAATAACAATGGGAAGATCCAAACAAACGATACCAAGTTAATTTAAACCTTCACCCCATTGCACAAGTACGTGGCTATCAGGACTCAGTAGCTAAGTGGATAAGACAATGACATTTGAAGCGAAAAACACTGGGTTCGACTCCCAGAGTGAACATCAACTCTGAGATACAGGTATATCAGCTGACCAGTCCCGAACAAAATGAAACGCGCTTCTTGGATTCCACTGCTAGGCACTATTCATGTTTGCTTATAAAGTGAAGAAATGATCTTTTCAATTGACTTCATATAATAGTAATATAAGTTGAAAATTTAATTATAAAATCAATACAGGTTAAGATGTACCGCCCTATATCTGACTCCAATGAAAATATATAATGATTATTATCAAAATATACATCTTGGCTGCTCTTGTATATAAACATCGACTTAAGTTGCGTTCGGCGGCCTATGTTCCATTAGGAGTAACAGGCGTAAGTAAAGTAAGTTGCGTTAGTGAATAATAAAATTAAATAAGTCAAATATGAGAATGAATTTTTAAATACGTATATTCTATACAATCCTTGATTCAGAGAGACAATCAAAGAAACGGTGCGAAACAATACAGTACAGAATGCAATTGAGCCAACTTCACTTGATAAAGCGTAAATCACTATTTATATTTTTAGACAAAAATCAACTGCAGATAGGTAATAAATATGGTATCCAATTAACATATGCGATCATATAAAAAACACTCAGGGTTAATAATCGAATAAGTAATAAGGTCAAAATGTGACTTGAGAAGGATGAATGGATAGATTTGTTCAAAATTAGAATAACCCTATGTGTGAGTGATATAGTATCAGTCATTACAATATATATATGGTAAACATTAACAACGTTGAATGCCGGCACAATGTTCTAGACCGAAGGCCATGGGCTAGAATCCCGCCAGCAGGATCGTGGATGCGCACTGCTGAAGAGTCCCACAATAGGACAAAACGACAATCCAGTGCTTCCAGGTTTTCAGTGGTGGTCTCATATCAATCGGTTCATGATCTCAATCAAAAAACTTAATAGTCTCCACAATCAAATGCTGACAAAACAGATCATACAAGAAGTTATACCAATATCATAAGTATGATAATCCAAAATGTTTACTTTTATAAGTTAAATTATTTCTGAAGGTGTTGTTTTTCGTACGTGTGACATCTTTGACTTTTACACATTGGATTAATCTTATACAATCGAATAGTTATGTATAATTGGAAAGTACTGTTTTAGCTGAATCAAAAGGTTATAGTGGATTGTGAATGCTTGAAAAAATTTGATAAGGCAACAGCTTCTATTTTATAATGACAATCATGATTTATAAAACACTTTTTTAATTGCTGATGGGACTAGTTTTTTTTACAATCGATTGATTATCAATGTTATGTATGTCAGGTCCTTCTTAGTGCAGATCGAATGCTATTGACCAAGTTGGAATGTGGTTACCAGTCTAGGTGAATCGACATTGTGTGCATTATGTTGAGATAAAATGGTGATTGGAGGTGGCCAACAGGAAACCCTGGACTTAGGTTCTGGGCTACTTAGCACTTTTCAGCAAGGTGTACATGTAATCTTGAAGGAATTGATGCCCTCTGACGGATTCAATCATATTGACAATAGGATTTGATCTGCACTAAGAAGGATCTGACATACATGATCAATCAATTGTAAATAAATCTCAGTCCTATAGGAGGTCAGTCGCGGTTCGGATACCTCAGTGGTAACTTCTCTGACTGTTAAACTGGATGATACGGGGTCGAATCCGTCAGGGAGCATCAGTTCCCTGAAGATTACAGGTACACCATACTGACGAGTGTCAAGTAGCAAGAAACTTGAGTCTAGGGATTCCTGTCGAATACCTCCAACCACCATCTAATCTCAACATATATTGCACGCAGTATCGAGCCACCTAGACTGGTGGCCACATTGCAACATGGTCAATAGGATTCAATCCGCACTCAATAAGGACTTGAAACATATGACATTGATCACCATCCAGTGATCTAGTCACATAAATTAGCAGATAATAATAATAATAATAATCAAAAACTGGTGGTTACATAATCACATATTAACTTACATGAACTTATTGTACGTGAGCCAATTAACGGATACAAATGAAATTACTTAACAGATAAAACAATTTAATTGTTATCATAATTATTATTATGTCAAAGAATGATTACTTTCTTTCGGTAACTAGTAACTTCTGTATATGAAATCATAAACACTGTTAAACGTAACTTCAACTATAAGCTGATTTGAACTTTTAACGTGAAGTTTATATTGTTTGCATTTCTTGGTTATGCAAACAATCATATAAATTTATCTCAGTATAGGGGTTGTGGAGATTATTAAGTTTTTGATTGAGATCATGAACTGATTGACGTTAGACCACTGTTGGAAACCTGGAAGCACTGGATAGTCATTTTTTTCCTATTGCGGGACTCCTCAGAAGTGTGCATCCACGACCACGCTCGCGAAATTCGAATCCAAGGCCTCCAGTCTCGATTCATTTCAAGTTCATGAATTAAAGTATTCTAAATAGTTAACTGTATTTGTATTTATATGAACTATGAGGGATATATGATCAACATTTTGATATGATTGATAAAAATATTGTAGATTGTTCATGGACTTATGGAATTAAGTTCAGTATTATTAGATTTACATATTCACTTTAGGGAGTTGTTCAATTAAGCTGATAATATAAGTAAAGTCAGTGACATTTTGATAAATGCATAATTTATCTTTATGCATGTAAGAAGTAGGTTAAAAAGAGTCATGTTGTTGAATTTAAGAGTCCGCGTAACTATCGTAACCAATGGTTGGAGACTGTGGGTAACATGGCTCAGAATCGATCACAATGGTGTAGGTGTATACACTCTTTGTCTTCCCTTAAACCATAAGATCAAAATCGCTTCATATCTTTCTTTCTACCAACTAATTCTTTGTTCCTGTACTACACAATCTTTGTTTTAAATATTACGATCACTGAATTAACTACTTCTATGAATCCGGTGTTCATCTTGTTGTGTTAATGAGGTGTGGCAACTTGGACGGATGCATATATGTGCCTGGTCCTACGTTGTAGCTGACTGACTGACTGAAATATGCAATTCAATGTCAACTAGATATGAAGTAATGAAGATCATTATTTTCCTCATGTAACGTCCTAATGAGAAATATGTGAAGGAACATTTAACTAGTCCTTTGGTCATTGCGTTTATCTTCAAGTAAAATGAATTGACTTCAAATCTTTTCACGAACTACAATACTGGAATGCATGTGTATGCATTTGACGAGTCTCACTTGGGATGTAACTGCTAGTCATAATCTTTCAATTCTGGCCTGATAATAACAGTTAAAACTAGTTTCTTTGATGAACCAACCAAAAAGACACGTTTGAATTGTTCATGAATAAACTAATCACTTAGATTCAGCACTATTATATATTTCCTGTTTTAATACTCCTCCTCCGTACTACCAGATAATTCAAACAGCGTTGAAAAAGAAGGGAGTATACTTTTTAAAAAAAAAAGTTAATATAATGAAGACTTACTTCAGCTGAACCTAAAGCATCAGCTGTTGGACTAGGTTTACGTACAACACTTTCAGCTGATACAACTAATAATCCATGATCTTCATCTGAATTGATATTTTCCACGTTTTGATTATTTGCACGTGTAGTTGTCTCTTGTAAACCATCAAGTGATAAAGATACACCAGCTAGTTTAGCTGTATTTTCATTCTATGATATAAATGTTATAGAAATAATGAATGATTTAATTAATTTATTAGAGAAATATGAAGGAAGAATACAAAAATCTTAGTTCTTATTGTTATAACTTGTCAGTTGAATGCTGCTTGTTATATCTGGTCATCGCTGATTGTTATGTCGGAAACTCTTATCACTTATACTGGAAACGAGAAAACTCTGCAATTCCCACGACGCGAAAGTAAGAACACAAAGACTGGTATAAGTGAAGATGTATTGACCCCCAAAACACGACGACGACGACCTTAGTCGAAAATCCACTCATTTATATATTGATTGTACACCCATTTTGATTAATAATTAGAATGAAATCACATGTATGAAAAATCACATAGTGAGCATAGTTCATGTCCATTGAATACAAGAATATCGTTTTGGGTTCGAATCTCGCGCGGGGGGGGCGGGATAGTGGATGCTTACTGCCGAGGAGTCCCATACTAGAACGAAACGGCCGTCCAAAGCTTCCAGGTCTTCCATGGTAGTATAGCTTTAATTGACTAATGGTTTCAACCATTGAAATATCGTATATTATACAGAATGAAATATCATACGGGGAAAGAAAAACGAATACTACACTGAATGGTCACCACATTGAATCAGAATGGAAGTAATGTCGAACCAAAACTCATAATTAGTAAATCAATCCAAAATTGCTTCTTCTTTCCATCATATCGCTTATCATAGAATGACATCAATAGAAGAACTGTCCAAAATTAGCAATACTGAATAACTGTTGAGATCTTCAACAATCCACTATTACTACTTCTAAATAGGACTGATTTTGAGCAAGATTTCGAATCCAATAGTTTACATAGTTTGAATTTCAGATACTTAGTGACATTGCAGAGTTAATGTCTAACATAATCTGCTATCAATTTAAACCACCAGGTTGTCGAACTCCAGTAGATGCAGATTTAGAATGCCTATCTAATGATAGTTAGCTATAAGTCGAGGATCTATGGTATCATAAATTAAACCTGATGAAAATTGATCCTGTTAAGTTAAGAAAAATACCATAAACTATGTTGACTTATTTAAAACTCTTTGATATTTTTTAAATAATACAGTTACAAACGCTTATCGTCATTTAAAATGAATGTTTCCATGGCAAATATAAATAATTTTATTAGTTGGATTCATGAATCGATCCAAGCTAGACCACTATTGGAAACCTGAAATCACTAGACAGCCATTCCGTCCTAGTACGGAACTCCTTAACAGTGAATATTCATGATCCCGCCCCATAAGGATTCGAACCGAGGACCCTTGATTTCGCATGTGAACGTTTTACCTCTAGACCCCTGAGTCATTATCCAACGGTATTAATGTCTAGATTCAATCGATTCATGATCTTGCGTAACTCTTTATCTATTGTCTGAGATAAATAACTGTCTTCACTGAATATGGATGGACTCTTATAGTTGTATGAAATGAACGTCTTGTTTCACAATTGATTGATCACTGGGTGGTGATTAATGTCATGTGAGTCAAGTTCTTCTTAGTACAGATCGAACGCTATCAACTGTGATTACATCTCAGTCCTATAGGAGGTAAGTCGCGGTTCGGATAGCTCAGTGTTAATGTCTCTAACTATGAAGCTGGATGATACGGAGTCGAATCCATCAGGGAGCACTAGTTCCCTCAAGATTATAGGTACACCTTGCTGACGAGTGCCAAGTTGCATGAAACCCGGGTTCAGGGACGTCTAATGTTTCCAGATTTTCAATGATGGTCAAGTTTAGATCGTGTCATGAATTTAACTATTAAAATTAATCATAAGTTGTTTATGTAATATTTATGTCATTTATATATATATATATACACTTATATTTAATATAATTGTAAACAAAATGAAACAAACTATACATACAATGAAAGAGTTTTGAATAATCAAGGAAAAACTACAAAAAAACCCTGTTTACAATGAAAGATCTGGATGGAAAACAAACAAGCAAACATAATATCAATGAATAAGAAGAATATATTGAATAAATGTGAAACAAGAGAAGAACAATAAAGACAAGAAGGGCGAAAAAGAGCGAAAAACAAATTAAGATGAACTCACAAAATAAAAAAACAACGGTCGATTCATTTCGTAGTGATAGTTCTATTCAGAGATTTATTTATTTATTTAAACACATAGACATTGGTACAAGGAAGCAACAAATAGATATGTGCCACATAAATGATTCGATTTGTGTGGAGGCTAGGGTACTATCCGATTGCCCAAACCGAAGCAGGTAGTTTTGTTAAAGGGTCACTCTTTGAGCCTTTGACCTAAAGGTCTGATCCACAAGGGAGTAGAGCATCGTGAAGAAATGCAGTCCCATGTTAGCCGGTGACCAACGATTGATTCATACGCCATTTGTTCCTTCAAGACATTGAAGATCATGTGGACCATTGGTTTGGAATCAAGGTTTCTCAACTGCCTTAGGTTGACTCTCCGTGTCTACCAACCAGGTTAATGCTCTGGATATTCGCTTTTCGTCTTATCAATTTCGTAAACAACAATGATGCCGCGAAAAGACAGTGAGTAGGACTTCTCTGGTAGTGGCTGTATGCACGTGGCCATATAAGAGCATTCGAAGAGGGAGAGCGAACTCTCCCCACTCTCGGCCGTACCAAGGCATTTGGCGGCTCTATTCGAAGATGATATACATACATGTCAATATTGATAAATTACTTTTAATTATGCAAACAGATACATGGTAATTACCAATAAAATTACAAAATTTGCATGAGAATAGCGCTAATTGGTTATAGTGTCAGTATAAATCAATTTTTTTCAATTATCTGTCGGGTTAGTAATTTTTTACTAAATCTTGTCAGACTTAAATTCCTTCAAACGACTGAAGTAGTAGCCATCTGAATGAAGAAACCTGAGCTATTCGTACAAAAGAAATATGCTCAACCGCTTCTCCTCCTCTGATCAACGTCAAAGCCATTTAATCAATAGTAATCTTAGCTGTTGAATGACCTTATTTGATTATTGTACTTACGACCTTTTGTAGTAAAATGTATTTTTTAGAAAGGGTTTTTGTAGACAGTTTAGTAATTTTAATAGTTGAGATCACGAGTCAATTAAAGCTAGACTACCATAGAAAACCTGGAAGCACTGGATGGCCGTTTCGTTCAAATATGGAGCTCCTCAACAGTATCCATCCACGATCCCACCTCACGAGATTAGAATCCAGAACCCACCGATCTTGCGCACGAACGCTCAACTTTTAGACTATTGAGCTGGCCCGCATCTTATGGTGTTGGTGTCCAACTCCAACTAATCTACGAGGTTGACCGACAAGTCCCCCATTGTATTCAGTGAGTGACTATCTCACAACAAACCCGATCAAACCCCACTGACCATTGCTTCTCACTGGAACTCTCTGTCATCTTTATTCACAAATCTTTATATTATTATTACTATTGGTTAAACATCATTATTAATCTCCTCAATACATGATTAATTTACTTCTCATTCATCCCACCTTATTATGTCTTACTGATTTTTCATACTATATAGTCTTCCACTTAACATTTGATCGAATTTATAATTACACCAATATTTCATATCTGATCCTTTATTTATTCTGTTCATGGATCTTAAAATTTTCATTTAACAAGTTAACATTCCATTTGAGTTATATCAATATTGACCAATTTTATAAAATTCTATATTGTTTGACAATCCTACAGTTCATATGGTTCAACTTAAAACGATATACTTTACCCCTTAACCTGATCATTTTGTTTGGGGGATTATTAATTTAGATATATGAGTTCGATTGTCATGAGGTATAATCGTGGATGCGCACTGTTGATGAGTCTCATACTAAGACGAAACGATCGTCTAATACTTTCAGGTTTTTCATGGTAGTCTAGCTTTGATGGATTGATGAATTCAACTATTAAAATTATTATAATATCTACAAAAAAACCCTCTCTGATTAGAATGAATAACATTTAACAAACAATGGATCAGATCTATTAGATGATAGTTACAGATTGAATAATGTATTCCTAGTATTAATTTGATATGGGTTCGAATAAAAAAATAATTGATTTTAGATATACCATTACTGACAGATGACAATTTTCATGGAAAGCAAATCTAAACGTCTTAAAGAAAGGATTCCTTTGAAATAGCAGATGTGAAATCAAGAACAAAATGATATTGTGTAATTTGAACTAATGTTATTGGCCGAACTAGAATTTATGAATGAACCAATCAGATTTAAGATAACAGGTTTTGGATTTTGGTGTGCAATTCACCCACTCATTGGGTCAAATAACGTTTTGGCATTTTAGTTAATGTCAGTTCATGATGAAAACTATAAATCTGATTTCTAACCTTAACCATCAACTGAAAATCATAATCTTAATACCTTACACTGGTTTATAACCCTCATTCAACACAAGTAACTAGGTCGACGCCCTCGAATGCCTGTCAGGGGGGTCCTACTCACTGCCTTCTAGCGGCAGAGATGTTGTTTGCTAAAATGGTAGGACGAAAACAGAGTGTTCGGCGCCTTAACCGTCTTGGTGGAATAGGAGGGTCCATCTAGGGGAGGGTTGGAAAACCCTCATTTCAAACCAATGGTTCACAAGGGCTCCAGTATTCAGAGGGAAAAATGGCGTATGAACCAACTGTTGGTCGCCGGCTAGCATAAGACTGCATTTTCTAACGTCACTCCATTGCCTTATGGATAAGACACTTAGGTCGAAGGCTCCAGGTGTATTCCCCTAAGTAAACCTCTTGCTTCGGTCTGGGTATCCGGACAGTATAACAGCCCACACGCAAATCAAGTGACTTGTGTGGGGACACCTTCAAAATAACCATAGTGTTGCACAAAGGTCGTCCATAAATTATAGTCTCATCTAAAATTTATCAATACAGAAGTAATTACTCAATGAGAAAGAAAAAAGATAGATGTGAAAATGAAAGGAATACAATTCCGTCTTATAGTTTTTATCAC